GAGAAGCTTAGAGATGCCATCCTGAAGGAAGCAGTAGTGTAGACAGCACTACTAAAGTGTGGGGAGAGAGGTGCAAAAGTGCGAGTAGAATTAGAACTGCACTGTGCAGACTAGGTGCCACTAGCTACACATGCCTGTTGAATACGTGAAACAAGGCCTAGCCGAATTGCAATGCTCTGCAAGTGTACAATGCACGCCGGATTTTGAAAATACTATTACAAAAAGACTGAAACTATCTCAATTATATTTTTATATTGATTAGATGTTAAAATGATAAGATTGTGCATATGTTGGGTTACATAAAATATTATTAAAATTAATCTCATCTGTTTCTTTTTATGGTATTTATGTGTTTACTAGAAAGTCTAAAATTACCCATGTGGCTCACATTATATGTCATACTGGACAGTGCTGGTTTAGAAATTTTATAGCAATTGGCATTGCCACAATAACCAAGTGCATTTTTTTATTGTATTTTGCAAATGGATTATCAACCCACAACATATTGGAAATGAAAAATACAGTCAACTACTGTTCTATCACAGAGTGTTTGCAAAGCACTGCTTTAAGCCATTCATATCTTTTCGAGTATTTTAGCCATTGTGTGTATTATAAGAAAATATGTACATTGTCAGTTTCTCAGAGCTCTGTGAAATATTCGAAGGAAGTGACCGTTAAATTGATTTGTCCCTCTGAGTATGAAAAAAGTGGTTGATAAAGATATTCTTGCCATGACTCGTGTAGCTCAGTTGATTGAACCTCATCCCATTTGTGCATAGGTCACTGGTTAGATTCCAGGTCAGGGCATATGCCCAGATTGCTGGTTCAATCCCAGGTAGAGGGTGTGCAGGAGGCAGCAGATCATGTTTCTCTTTCATCAGTCGTTTTTTCTCTCTCTCCCTCTCCCTTCCTCGCGCTCTAAAAAAAATCAATAAAAACCTTAAAAAAAAGATGTTATTATATAACTGTCCGATTTACTTATATTTATTTAAAGTTATATAACTGTATATTAGAGTTGGAGAGAATATAATATATACTATGGTAAAGAATTTATTTTTAAAAGTTTACTTAAAGAATCAGTTTGTCATCAACTAGTGGCTATATTAAGAATTAAAAAGCAGGGGATAGAGAAGCTCAGACCTCAAATTATTTACATTGCAGTATTGATGATATACTTAAGTAATTGTCTTCCTTAGGTTTTGTTCTATAAAATTGACTTATTTTTTGTCAGAATGGGCTGGACTTAATGTTGGACTTAGCTTTTGGCAAAAGTGAGCTTGTGATTTACAGGTCAATTTTTCTCATCAAAACCTGGGCAGAACCATTTATTTTAAAACCAATATTTATTTTACAATGGGAAGACGGAGCAGATTAAAGGAGCATAAAACCTTGATAAATTACCCAATCTTTATCCCATAGAAAATCTTTTAAATGGCTCTTAAAGTAATGGCAGTAAAACCGTCTCACAGGGTTTGTATTTGGATGCTTTTCCAGCATATGGTATAGTTATGGAGATTAAAGTCTAATTAACAAGGAATTTATAAAAATTCAGATGTTGTCTGCAGGATTCTTTTTCAATAAAAAGTTCAATGTGTTTTTTCCTTAGCTAAGTTTGAGTCTTACTCATGAGTAAAGGGAATCCTATTTCATATTCATAGCTCTTTCAAATCACAGACCCAAGAAATGAAATCTTTTAGTCTTTTTTATATAATAATCAAATTTTATATTAAAAATTTAAGAACATATATATTTATATTTATTACAGATTATTATGCAAGAAATGAGATTTTATAACATCTCATTTTCTTTTATTTGGTTCCCATTGATATCTTAGGTTATAATAATTTCTGTAGTTAAAAATAATGGAGCTACATGTCTCTAATAGTGTTCTTTATTACTATTCTAATAGTAAGTTAAGTTATATGACATACAACCTTTGGGCTGATTAAAATATGCTAAAGAGTAGAAAATGTATGAAACGATCTGCTTGTAGTCATGGTGCATTTTATAAGATGGAGCCTGTGTCCTATTGTGGAATAGATGTCCTATTGTGAATGTCTGTCTCTAGCTAATTGTAGACTCTAGGTCCATGGTTGGCAAACTTTTTCTGGAGAGGGTGAGAGACTAAATATTGTAGGCTTTCTGTCTCTGTTTCAACTCTGCTGTTATTGGGCAAAAGCAGCCTAAGGCAATATATAAATGATTGCGTGTATGTATATCTTTTGACCTAACAATTCTATATCTAGGGGTGTTTCCTAAGGAAATAATCAGAGGTTTTGGTAAAGAAGTGTGTACAAGAGAATTTGTTATAGTATTACTTCATAATGTGGAAAGCTGCTTATGAATCTTGGTTAATTAAAAGAAAAGCAACAGAAAGGGATTTTTGATATAATGTGTGTATGTGTAATAAGTTGAGATACGGAATTACTGATAATCGACTGTGTTGGTTTTTTTTATCTGCACAATGGAAATTTTATATGGTCAACCTAAGATGAATGCATAGATACTGAAAGATTATTCACCTATAATTTTCTGAGTGAAAGAAATAGAATAACTTTTTAAAAAATTCTTTTCATGTGCTTATTTGTTACAATGTATTTTAATTAGCAATGAGAAAAATGATGCAGGTTTTTAGGACAAATTGTGGTCACTCAGTGATGGAAGGAGTTCTGTTTGGAGGAGGTGGGCCTCCTGTGAGAACACCAAGGCCCAGGGTACCAAATCTGGTAAAGGAACTTCTGAGGGGATCGCTGACCTTTAGCTGGGCCTCCTGATAGGGAGCCTGTTTGCCCTTCCCTAGACAGCGTCTACATTTCCGCACAGTAGGACACCGAATTCTGTCCCTACTTGAGACTTTGCCCCTTTCCAGCTCTCAAATTCTGCAATTCTTTGATTTTTTTCTCTCTTTAGCCCTTGTTTGCTGTTTTCCTCATTGCTTCTTATCACCTGGCAGAAACACAGTGGGGAGGGCCTGCTACACAACAGACTTTTGATGCTGGTATTTAACTTTCTCCTACAGTTTTCCTGGATGACATTGATTTCTAGTGCAAAGGGCACTCAGTTTTGGAGCTGACCTGTGGAGAGACAGAGCCCTCTGGCCTGCTGGGAGGCTGAAATCCCATCCAGCAGCGACAGGGCCTGGCATTTGTGTGAGCCTGCAGGACAGGCCCCAGTGCCTGGAGCTCCTCCGGGGACCATAGTGTGGAGAGAAAGCAGCAAACCCTTTCTCTACCTGAGGGAGGCCAACATTGCGTGAGCTCCCTTGGTTTTCTCCTCAGAATCTAAGACCTCATGTGGTTGTATTTTGATACAAATGTTCTCCTACAATTAGGGCTAATTTCTGCTCTCTTTGAAGCACAAGGCAGAATGATGGTGCCTCCCTTAGAGGAAATAAAGAGGCCTCAGCAACTGACACTGCTTCCTTAAAGACAAGATATTTTCTCAGTAGCCAAAAGTTGCTGGTGACATTCAGCCCCAAATCAAAGGTCATTTCTCCCAAGAACTCTTATGTCAGCTCCCTTTTTGTGTGTGGATTAAACTGGGTCTGTGGAATTTCCATTTCTTACAAAA